TCAAAGATGCAGTTCCTCTAAGCATGGACTTTTATTAGCTCGATTGTTGCAGGGATTTCACCTTCTGAAATCTTTAGGGTTGATAGAGCCAAAGATGACTACAACCTAATGCAATTGAATAAGATAAATAACTATGATCCAGTAATTTCAGCTAAAGGATATTCGTCTGATGGAGATGGATGCTTCATTGATGATGTAGAAACATGGAAGGATGGAGATCAACAACTTACCAAGAAGATGAATTATTTATTGAAGAGAGCTCCTCACCAGCAAACAGATGATGATCTTCTAGTAAACCTGACAAAGAATTCCAACACTGAAATGGATGGTTTTATCACAGTTGCAAGGAAAAAAAAAAGAAACAGCCTGCACAGACAGTTCCAGTCACTCCTAGAATTACTAGGAATGCAGCTAAAAAGCTGGCTCATGCTTTCTCTGCCATTCCATGATGAATTGCATTATATGGAATGTACGTGGTCTTGTCTCTTCCTGTCCAAGGCTACGTGATTTAATAAGACAGTGGAATATTAGTCTTTTGGTTATTATTGAACCAATTGTGTCTTCTGTTAAAATAAATGATATTGCTATGCAGTTGGGTTTGAATTCTGTTTTTTTCTGCAATGAAAACAAGATTTGGCTTTTCTGGGATAAGTCAAAGCTTGCTATCAATGATATCACTACTGGGGATCAATTTATTCACATGAAAATTCTTGCTGGATCATATAATTTTTGGTTTACAGCTATATATGGCAGTCATAGCTATATTGAAAGAAGGAACCTTTGGCATTTTTTGGAAGGATGGGATGGTGCTAACAAAGAACCTTGGTATGTCGGGGGTGATTTTAATGCCATTGCTAATAATGGGGAGCATAAAGGACAAAGTACACCTATTCTGAGTCACATGACTGAGTTTAAAGACTGTTTAGCTACATGTGATCTTGTTGATTTACCAGTCCATGGATCTTCTTTCACTTGGTTTGGGGTGAGAGCTAATGGCAGGGTTTGGCATAGGTTGGATAGAGTTTTGGTTAATACCTCCTTCTTGGGACTCTTTGATAGTATCCAGATTAGTCATTTGAACAAAAGCTCCTCTGACCATTCCCCAATTCTCCTGCAATGCAAAAATCAGTTAACAAATGGGCCCAAATCATTTAAATTTCAAAATATGTGGACAGCACATACTAATTTTCTTGAGATGGTGAGTACTACTTGGGGTTCTTTTACAACCATTGGTGGCATGAGGGGCCTATATTACAAACTGCAATCTTTGAAGAAGGTCCTTAAATTGTGGAATAAGACTACTTTTGGTGATATATTTCAAGACATTAAGAAGTTGGAGGAAAAAGTTGCTGAGGCTGAAATCTTATTTGAAACAGACTCTTCAGATGCAAATAGGGAGAACTGGTCTTATAAGCAAGCTTTACTACTTTCTAGACATAAACATGAAAATGAAATTTGGAGACAAAAAGCTCGGCTTAAATGGCTCAAGGAGGGGATTGCTAATACCAAATTCTATCATGCTTATGTGAATGTCAAGAGAAGGATGCAATACATATCTGCTATCAAAGATTCTGCTGGAAATTTGTATAATACTCCTGAGGATATTGGGCAAGCTGCTGTGAATTACTTTCAGGATATCTTTGCGGAAGAAGAGGTTAATGATATAGAGCCCATCCTGGAATACATACCAAAATTAGTTGATAATATTGATAATCATATGTTGATGCATCTTCCATTACATGATGAAGTTAAAAATGCAGTTTGGGGACTTGATAAAGATAGTGCTGCAGGTCCAGATGGTTATAATGGAGTTTTTTTTAGGCATTGCTGGTCCATTGTGGGTGATGATGTGGTCAGGGCAGTTCAGGATTTCTTTTTAGGAAATTCTATTCCAAAGGCAATGGCGAGCTCCCTAATTGTTCTGATTCCTAAAAAGGATAACTTCTCTACTTTTTCAGACTTCAGGCCTATTAGCCTTTCTAATTTTATTAGTAAGGTTTGCACAAAAATTTTGGTTAACAGGCTCATGAACATTCTGCCCAAGTTGATCTCTATTGAGCAAGCTGGATTTATGAAGGGGAGAGATGTTTCTGATCATATTCTGGTTGCTCAAGAAATGGTCCATTCAATTGATAGAAAGGTCAGGGGCACTAATATCATTGTTAAGCTGGACATGGCAAAGGCATTTGACAGATTATCTTGGGAATTCCTACAGGCTATTCTCCTTCAATTTGGATTTTCTGATGCTTTTGTTAATTTGGTGATGAACCATCTTAAATCTACGCATTTTTCAGTTATTATAAATGGTTCACCTCATGGTTTTTTTCAGCCTCATAGAGGGGTTAAACAAGGGGATCCTCTCTCCCCTTATTTATTCATCTTAGCCACAGAAGCCTTATCTAGAGGATTGAAGAGTCTGGCCTCTGCTAATAAGATTAAACCTATTGGATTGGCCCAGTTGGACAGTCTATTACTCATTTATGTTTTGCTGATGATATTCTTGTTTTTCTTAATGGGGAAGCCAGGTCTATACAAAATTTTAAAAGATTTTTGGGTCTTTATCAAAGAGCTTCAGGGCAAGCCATCAATCTTGATAAAAGTAATTTTGGGTGTGGGACAACTTCCCTGGCAAGAATCAGGAATATGGAAAGGCTTCTTGGAATGACAAAAATCAACATGCCCATGAAATATCTTGGTTCTTTCCTGCATAAAGGGATAAACAGGAAGAGTTATTGTCAAGGAATTCTTCAATCCTTTGATAGGAAGCTTTCTAATTGGAAACAAAAACATCTTAACTTTGGTGGCAGGCTGGTACTTATTAAGCATGTTCTCAATGCTCTTCCCTTACATATTTTAGCAGTTGACACTCTTCCTAAAGCAATCATTAGAAGTCTGGAAAGAAGAATGTCCCATTTTTTATGGGGTTCCAATGCTAGTAAGGATAAATATCATTGGATTAAATGGAAGGACTTATGTTTGCCCTATGTTGAAGGTGGTTTAGGTCTGAGATCCCTAATTGATATTGAAAAAGCCTACTCTCTTAAACTTTGGTGGATTTGGAGAACTAAGAGATCTAATTGGGCAATTTTCTGTCATGCTAGATATCCAAGGGGTGATATGATTCTTAAATCTCAGGACTCGGCTATTTGGAAGAGAATTTGTAAGGTTCATGACTTGGGGCAATCTTTATGTATGCAGGATAATGAAGGGCAGATCATTTGGTTACCTGAAAACAATGGAAGATTTACTCTGGCCTCAGCCTTTCAGCACACAAGGAGATCCAGGAATGCTATCTTTTCCTTCAGACATAACTGGAACAAATTTCAAAGAAGTCAAGTGCAAATATTTCAGTGGAAGACTCTCAATAGAATTTTACCCTTCCCTGATAACTTAAAAAGATTTAACTGGACAGTTTTTCCTACTGTGTGTCCATTTTGTAAACAACATTCTGAGTTCATGGACCATGTGATTCTTAATTGTTCATATAGCTGGAATATCTGGAGGTACTTTCTTGGCATTTTTGAAATTCCTATTCCTACTAATACTATTACTCTGCGACAGATGTTTATTGCTTGGTGGCTAGAAGCGGGTTCTAAAACTCTAATGGATGTTTTCAAGCATAATATGGCAGGAATTATTGCTTGGCACCTTTGAAAAAATTATTGTCAGATTAAATGGGGAGATATGAAAGAAGTCCTTACTGCACAGATTGTTATCCAGCAAATTAAAACCTATTCGCAGATCTGGTCTGATGCATCTCTGACTAAACTCAAATTAGGAAATCCCAGTCCTATTCTTTTAGAAGAGCATTTCGTTCCTATCTTGTTTAGAATCAAGAGACAACGGATTCAAGCTATTAAATGGAATTTACCTTCGCTCAACTTCAAATTGAACGTCGATGCAGCTTTCAATCCAGTTCGGGCATCAGGTGGAGCTGTGATTAGATCTCGTTCAGGAGAATTTGTTGTTGCTTTGCACTTTCCCATTGTTGCGACTTCAGTTATGGAGGCTGAACTACAAGCTGTCCATCACTCTGTGTCTTGGGCGATTGGAGAAGGATATCAGAATTTCGAGGTTGAAATGGATTCTAAGCTAGTGGTTGATGCTATACTAGGCGGAGTGTCGGAGGGGCGATGGAAGAGGTCACTCGATGACCTAAGAAGATGGAGGGTTGAGAGTAATATCTCGTTCAGACATATTCTACGGGATATAAATTGGCCAGCGCACTATCTTTCCAAATTAAATTTAGAGGAGCAGATAATTTTTAATAACATCAATTTTATTCCCAGTAATATTAGACGTGCTTTAATCGCAGATAAATTAGGCCTGAGTTATTTTCGTTTTGTTTAATTTTATTGGGTTAGGTTTGGTCCCCCCAATATTTTTGTTTTTTTAATTTTTCCTGTTTTTGGAAGAGGAATGACTCTTCAAGGGAGGTTTTGGCCTAGTCCCCCTCTCTTCTTGTATCTTTCTGACATTAATAAAACACTGGCAAATGTTCCCCGGCATTTACCCCACTGATTTTAGTGGTTTACCTTCCGGGATAAAAAAAAAAGTTAAAGTTAAAAGAATATAAAATTTAAATTAAGTGTTAACTTATAGTGGAAGTAGATATTACATATAAAAGTATATACGTATACTTGGTACATGAGTTTTAGTGCTGCCTAAGGAAAGATTTCGCATATGCCTCATGCGATTAGTAATTTAATAATAATAATTTAATACTACATTAAGTCTTCCTTTGTAATATGAGATGAATGAGGAGCTCATATTATAACGACAATTCCCTTATAGCATTCACGTAGTATACTGAGTCACATATAGCAAGCGCCGAACGTGCAAACAAGGAAAGTATCGAGAACTTTCTCTACTAGTAACGTTATACCAACGAAGAAATGGTAGGTTGTAAATGCAAGATTTTTTTGAACCGGCATCTAGAATCATCGGAAACGAGTATATATAGCAGCCTTGATCAACCGGCTCGGCACAACCCAACGACCTGCGAACATATCTATTATATTTACACGCCTCTGCAAACCCAAAGACGTCAAGCCTTCATTTCCAACTCACCAAGGAAAAGAAGGAATTAAGAGCGGGTGAGAGAGAAAGGACGAGCGACGTCGGAGAAAGAAGCTCGCCGGCAGAAGACACGAGCAAAAACCACACCGGAGTGCTGCCGCTAACGCCAAGGGAAGTTACCGCCGATACATTTGTCGAACGACTCCGTCACCAGACATCCGTTGTCGTCCCACGCATCAGTCTTCTGGAGAGGTAAGTTTACTTCCTTGCGTATTTTTCCGGCGTTTCAGACTTTCAACGGAGTACGTAGACGATTTGCATGCGTACGAGACATAGTTTAGGCTGGGCTGCTGAACTGCTTTGAGAATGGGTCAACCGTAGGTATAGTATTAAATAAATAATCAATAATATACCAATTATCACCATGATAATAAATCAGGGAAATTAAATTTAGGAGATTAATATATAATCAAATAAATAATTTGAAATTTAGGAGATAAAAATAATCACATTAAAGGATCGATTAATCCTTGAGGCCAAACTTAGCAAAGTGGGTATGTTCTTAAGAGTACTTTGAGTACTAAAATTTAAATAGAATATGATTGCTTGAAATTATTGATTAAAAATTAAGTCGAAGGGTAATATTAAAAATTAGCTCAATTGATTAAAATGAATTGCTCGGATTACGGAGCCCTCTATTCGCTTCATGTTTAGTGAACTAATAAATAGTACGATTGATTAATGGTATTAATCTATTTGTGATTCATAACTTCAAACTGACAAACCAGTTAGTAAGGTAGAAATCCGAAGTAGTAAAAAAAAGGGGGGGGGGGTTAATATTGAAATTTTTATTAACATAATTAAATAAGTAATTAATAAACGAATATTTTAAAAATAGATTAACCTCATAATTAGGTTCAACCCCTAATTAATTGGATGAATTCTTAAGCTAATTAGAATTTTAATTGATTAAAGGTGATTATTAAAAGGACATTTTAAGAGACCAATTTAGGAGGAGTTTCACGTCAACCAAAATTATACCTTTTTGCCTCGTACTTTTATTAAAGGTTTTTATGTGCATATTTGCGAATTGAATTTATGTGTGCTGAATTTTACTACCTCCATCCCGCTATGATTGTCCCGTTTTACCTTATCGGTCCGTCCCACTAAGATTGTCCCATATCAAATTTGGCAAAGTTTGTGTGGCTCTAAATCATTCTTACTTTATTCTTACTTTATCAATTCAATATCAACCACATAAACCAATTTTTATTGATTTGCGTGCCACTCCCTCTTGTCCCATTGTTAGCGGGACGGAGGGAGTAGTAAATGTTATTTCGATACTAGTGTGCTATGATTGGTTGTACTTGATATATTGGTTTTTTTCTTCTATTATGTGATTTTGATATTAGTTATTCTATATGATTTTGGGAGATTTTCTACTAGTGAATATTTTGATTAATTTGGTGTTGAGAAGTTGTTGTTATGTTATATTTTTGAAACATATGAACTTTTGATTGAATTTTGATGAAACAAGAAAAATTAACATTTTCATAATTAAGGGGTGAGCACTCGGGAGAAATCCGTGGTGTCGGTTTTCCACATCCGGATAAATGTGGAGGATGGTTAGAGCTACTACTACTCAATTTGATTTGAGTTGATTTGAGTTGGGTTGATTTTGATTTATGGAGGGTCGGTAACCACCCCGACAATTGGACATTAGATCCCACTTTGGTAGTAGTAGTAGTAGTAGTAGTTCCTAATCATTCAAGTTTGAATAATTTTGGTGGGGTAGTTGGTAGAAAACATCCCGGCTACCCGGGGCGACTTACTAACCCGGAGGGCTTGGAATCCCTTTAGGGGGTGTGCACACTTAAGGTGGTTGTTCCGATTCCGACTTTTGTGGTTGATGGAGACCGGAAGTTCCGGGGTAAGTTCGTAAAGAACAACGACTTACTGGGCTCGGTAACCCCGAGTACCGTCCATCTTAAAAAGAACTAGGGCTTTAGTTAAAAATATATTTTTTTGAGAAAAATCCTCAATTGGAAGTATTTGAAATTTTATTACTATTGGCCTTGAATTATATATGACGACTTTATGATTGCGGCGGATTTTTGAAGTTATGTACTTATATTTGAATTATTATTTTACCTATGAATTATGTGACGTGAGCTTTGCATAAATATTGTTTACTTACGATTAATATGAAATGTTATGAAAATATGTTGTCCTGAAAATATGTTGTCCCGAAATGTGTTACAAATATGTATATAATTATATTATTTTACGGGGTTAGGTGGAACTTACTTAGCATTGTTGCTAATTTTTGTTTTCTTCTTATTTTCTTTTTGTCCATATCAAACAGGAGGTGACCATGTGGATTATGATGCTGCAATATTTGAGAGCGCAAACTAGAAGACCGTTATGTAGTTTATTTGGAATAAACTTCGATACATGTTTTGAAAATCTTAATTTTGTTTAAACTCACATTTTGGGTAGATAGCTTTAGCATTCAATCATTTAAGGTTGGATGTGGCGGTGACATACCCTTTTCCCTTAGTTTTACTAATTTCCGCTGCAAACATTTGAATGTTTATCTAATAAATAAAAGATCATTTTTATTTCAAAGTATTATTTTGGGTGGAAATTTTGGGGGTGTCACAAGTTGGTATCAGAGCCCGGGTTTTTTTGAAAGGACTAGAACACGAGGTAATAGGTCGTAGGGAGAAATTCTGTCACAAAGACGATAAGAGTCTAAGCTGGTTGGTGCTTAATTGAGCCTTTGCGCTCGTCCAACTAACTGGGAATTTCTCCTTGTGCTGAAACTTCGTTGTTCGAAATCTTTGATGAAAACTGTGGGAATCATACCTTAAAAGCGGAGATTTTTTTTTCAAAACATTTCTTTTATCAAATTTAGGAAATGGAAATGACTAGGAAAAAGGCCTTTCAAAGAACGCGGTGAGGATTATGAGATTTTGTATTGCTTTTATATGTTGAACAAAATCCTTGATGCTTATGTGAACTTTTGTAGGCTTGATTATGGTATGACTTGATAATTTAAAGGTGCTGTATTAGGATACTAGCTTGATTCCTAGACAATACCTTAGTACTTAAGTATTTCCTTTCTTTTTAAGAATATGCCGCCTAGAAGGGAAGTCCCCGCAGCGCCAACTAATGCTGAATTGGCGTTGACCATTCAACAACTTGCTCAAACGATAGGCACCGCATTTTTCCAGAGCCAGCAAAACAGCAATGACGCTTCAAAGAGGGTAGCAGCACGGAATCCCCCGAGCTTCCAGGGTCAAGAGGATCCACTCATTCTTGAATATTGGATACGCACATTTGATAAGTTGTTCGAGGCAGTTAACTGTCCGGCGGAACAACGCGTCGACATCGCTGCATACTACTTCCATCAGGAGGCCGATAACTGGTGGGCCACCGATGGACCAGCATTACGTCAGCAGCCGAATTTTACTTGGGAGGCATTGAAGGAGGCTATGAGGGAAAGATTTTATCCCGAACATGTCAAAGCGGAGAAATATGAGGAGTTTTTGTATCTCAAACAAGGAGCTATGTCGGTCCAAGACTATTACGCCAAGTTTGTGGCATTGGCTCGGTTCGCAAGTGCTCTAGTTCCGGACGAGAACAGCAAGGCCCGGAAATTCATCAATGGCCTAAATTACGACACTCAGAAGGCTGTAAGTGTGTTAGGGTGTCAGACATTGAAAGAAGCTTATATGAAGGCCGCTACACACTACAGAGTGCAACAACTTCAACGACTTCAACGTGATGCTCACAAGAGGAACAAAAGAAATGGTGATGATGACCACCCACAAAGGGAGAAGAGAGCTAGGCCTAAACCCCCTGAACAACGAATACCAAGGCAGGTAGATCACCGCAACCATGGAGGAAGAAATTTCCAGGGTCAAGGCATGAGGACCGATCAGCGAAGCCAGGCGAGGGAACGTTACTACCACTGCAAATTGTGCCAGAAAAACCACCGTGGAGTAGACTGTGCAGGCAATCCGGTGAAATGTTACAACTGTGGCCGGACGGGCCATAGGGCATTTGAATGCCATGAAGGGAAGGAGAAAAGAAATCGGAACCAAAGTCAACTTAACGGGGGAGGTGATCCCGGGGGAAATAGGCCGGGAGGCGCAGATAATCCTAACCACAATGCTCGCGGGAACGTGGGAAACCACAAAGGCAACAACAACGCCCCTAACCAAGGCAAGATCTTTGTGATGAATCAAGCTCAAGCTAATGCCTGTGACGTAGTTTCAGGTACCTTCCAAGTGAACTCCATGCCTGCTTATGTTCTTTTTTATTCTGGTGCTTCTCATAGTTTTATATCTTCAAGCTTTGTTAGGAAATTGGGGATAGCACCCACTACTAGAATAGAATTGAATGTAAAAACAGCAGCTGAAAAAGTTGTGGCTTGTGGGAATGTGTACTCGAACGTACCCATACTCATAAGCGACACCAATCTTCCTGGAGATTTGATTGAATTTGATCTAGAAGACATAGATGTGGTGCTTGGCATGGACTGGCTCGGAAGTTACAAGGCAAAAATTTTATGTGGCGAACAGAAGGTAGTCATGAGAGGCCCTAATGGGAAGAGAATATCCTACAAGGCTGCGACTACCAAACCGGGGGTGAAGCTGGCAACCATGCAACAAATAAGGCGCTACATTCGAAAAGGATGTGAAGCATACCTGTGCGTTGTCCAAGACTTGAAGGTGGAGGAGAAAACCATTGACCAAATCCCCGTGGTCAATGAATTCCCGGATGTGTTTCCGGAAGAGATTCCAGGGATGCCGCCGGAAAGAGAAGTGGAGTTCTCCATCGACTTGATGCCCGGGACCGCACCAATCTCGAAGGCACCCTATCGAATGGCACCAAAAGAGATGCAAGAGCTGAAGGAACAACTTCAAGAGTTGCTGGAGAAAGGTTATATTAAACAGAGTGTCTCACCTTGGGGCGCTCCAATGTTATTTGTCAAGAAGAAAGACGGAAGCTTGAGGCTGTGTGTTGATTACCGGGAGCTTAACCGAGCAACTATCAAGAACAAGTACCCACTTCCGCGCATTGACGATCTTTTCGATCAGCTGAAAGGAGCAAGTACATTCTCCAAGATTGACTTGAGATCTGGTTATCATCAAGTAAGGATCGCCGATAGGGACATCCCAAAAACAGCATTTCGAACGAGGTAAGGACATTATGAGTTCACCGTAATGCCGTTCGGCTTAACCAATGCGCCTGCAGTATTTATGGACCTCATGAACCGTGTGTTCCGACCCTACCTCGACTTGTTCGTGGTAGTGTTCATTGATGACATTTTGGTGTATTCAAAGACACCGAATGATCACGATGGGCATCTCAGAATGGTGCTTCAGACTTTGAGAGACAATCAGCTCTATGCCAAGCTCTCAAAATGTGATTTCTGGAGGGATCAGGTAGCCTTCTTGGGCCACATCATCACCCAAGAAGGTGTATCCGTTGATCCATCAAAAATTGAAGCAGTGATAAATTGGCCTGCACCCACCACAGTGACGGAGGTCCGAAGTTTCCTAGGCTTGGCAGGGTATTATCGAAGATTTGTGAGAGATTTCTCAAAGATAGCGAGGCCTTTGACCAACCTCACAAAGAAGACCACGAAATTCTTGTGGAGTAGTGAATGTGAAGAAGCTTTCCAAGAGCTTAAGCGAAGGTTGACAACCGCACCAGTCTTGACCCTGCCATCCGGAACCGAAGGGTTTGAGATTTACAGTGATGCTTCATTGAAAGGGTTAGGGTGTGTACTGATGCAAAATGGAAAGGTGGTGGCCTATGCATCGAGGCAACTAAAGACTCATGAAGTCAACTACCCTACACATGATCTAGAGCTAGCTGCGGTGGTTTTCGCCCTAAAACTTTGGAGGCATTACTTGTATGGGGCACAATGCAAAGTTTACACTGATCATAAGAGTCTCAAATACATATTCACGCAAAAGGAGCTCAATATGAGGCAACGACGATGGTTAGAACTTGTCAAGGATTATGGCATAGAGATTCAATACCATGAAGGAAAAGCTAATGTTGTGGCAGATGCTCTAAGCCGTAAGTCAATGCATTCTTGTAGAGCAACATGGATTCTACCCAATGAGCTATGGCGAGACTTCCAAAAGCTGAATTTGGAAGTGAGAGAATTCGGCGAGGTAGATAATGAGGTACGGTTATGCTCTATGACCGTTACCCCATCACTCTATGAAGAAATCAAGGCGAGACAACCTGGAGATGTGAAGCTGGAGCGAGTCAAGTCCGGAATGAAAGACGGAATCAATGGACCATTCAGGATGCATGACGACGGTAGTATTCGTTATAAAGGCAGGCGGTGTGTCCCTATGAAATGTGAGCACGTCAAAAAGCAAATCATGGAAGAAGGACACAACACGCCCTATTCGGTACACCCAGGTGGAGAGAAATTATACAAAGACTTAAAGAAGAATTTCTGGTGGCCGCGAATGAAGAAAGAAGTGGCGGAATTTGTAGCCAGATGCCTTAACTGCCAGAAAGTCAAGGCTGAGAGATGCAAGCCCAACGGACTCATGCAACCCTTAGAAGTGCCAACGTGAAAATGGGACTCCATCTCGATGGACTTTGTTGGAGGGTTACCCCTAACAAGGTCTGGGAAGGACAAAATTTGGGTGATCGTCGACAGACTTACCAAAACTGCGAGGTTCATTCCCATGAATGAAACTTGGAGTATGGATAAGCTAGCTAGGGCATATATCCAACACGTGGTCAAATATCATGGCGTGCCCTGAGATATTGTATCTGACCGAGACTCCCGTTTCTTATCACAATTCCGGAGGGAATTGCAAGCGGCTATGGGGACCAAGCTAAAGCTAAGCACTGCATTTCATCCTATGACGGACGGGCAGACAGAGAGAACTATCCAGACACTTGAAGATATGTTGAGAGCTTGCGTATTGGACTTGCAGGGATCATGGGATGAACACCTAGACTTGATAGAGTTCTCGTACAACAACAGTTACCATGCAAGCATCAAGATGGCTCCGTACGAGGCTTTATACGGTCATAAGTGTAGAAGCCCATTATGCTGGAGTGATATGGTGGACAAAGTCGTCTTAGGACCCCAATACCTGCAGGACACAATGGAGAAAGTCAAGCTCATTCAAGCGAGGATGAAAGCAGCGCAAGATAGGCAGAAGTCGTATGCGGACCTAGGAAGAAAACTAGCCGAATTCGAGGTGGGAGAAAAAGTCCTACTCAGAGTCTCCCCGACAAAGGGAGTAATGAGATTTGGGAAGAAAGGAAAGTTGAGTCCTCGGTTCATCGGACCTTATGAGATTTTGGAGAGAGTGGGAAAAGTGGCCTACAGACTGGCTTTACCCACCGAGTTAGACAAGGTATGAAGCGTTCAAACTCTTTAACATTGTTATCAATCTAAAAATACTAATGTACGATATGTTAGGTACACAACGTCTTTCACGTATCTCAGTTAAAGAAGTACATCCATGACGAGTCTCATGTTATCAATCCGGAGGTAAGAACCTCAACCTTAGAACTCCCAAAACCCAAAATTAGACATTGCAATTAACATGTACTCTATTAGGTGGTCGAGTTGGATGAGACTTTGACTTATGAGGAGAGGCCTATCAAGATTATTGACAGCAAGACACGTGAGACAAGAAGAAAGGCGGTTAAAATGGTGAAAGTTTTATGGTCAAACCATTTGGCCGAAGACGCCACTTGGGAGACCGAAGATGATATGCGAAGTCGTTATCCTCAATTATTTGATTAAGGTAAAATGTTAGTTACGGGGACGTAACCTTTCTTTTAGGAGGGTAGAATGTAATACTTGGTGATTTTATACTATTAGAATTATTTTATGCTTCGAGGACGAAACATCTTTTAAGTAGGGTGGAATGTGACACTTAATAAAAAAAAGTGTTAACTAATATTAATTTGAATAAAATTTTGACTTAAAGAGTAAAAGTGACATTTGGTTAATTACACATGGAAGTGGATATAAAAGTTAAATTTAAAAGAATATAAAATTTAAATTAAGTGTTAACTTATAGTGGAAGTAGATATTACATATAAAAGTATATACGTATACTTGGTACATGAGTTTTAGTGCTGCCTAAGGAAAGATTTCGCATATGCCTCATGCGATTAGTAATTTAATAATAATAATTTAATACTACATTAAGTCTTCCTTTGTAATATGAGATGAATGAGGAGCTCATATTATAACGACAATTCCCTTATAGCATTCACGTAGTATACTGAGTCACATATAGCAAGCGCCGAACGTGCAAACAAGGAAAGTATCGAGAACTTTCTCTACTAGTAACGTTATACCAACGAAGAAATGGTAGGTTGTAAATGCAAGATTTTTTTGAACCGGCATCTAGAATCATCGGAAACGAGTATATATAGCAGCCTTGATCAACCGGCTCGGCACAACCCAACGACCTGCGAACATATCTATTATATTTACACGCCTCTGCAAACCCAAAGACGTCAAGCCTTCATTTCCAACTCACCAAGGAAAAGAAGGAATTAAGAGCGGGTGAGAGAGAAAGGACGAGCGACGTCGGAGAAAGAAGCTCGCCGGCAGAAGACACGAGCAAAAACCACACCGGAGTGCTGCCGCTAACGCCAAGGGAAGTTACCGCCGATACATTTGTCGAACGACTCCGTCACCAGACATCCGTTGTCGTCCCACGCATCAGTCTTCTGGAGAGGTAAGTTTACTTCCTTGCGTATTTTTCCGGCGTTTCAGACTTTCAACGGAGTACGTAGACGATTTGCATGCGTACGAGACATAGTTTAGGCTGGGCTGCTGAACTGCTTTGAGAATGGGTCAACCGTAGGTATAGTATTAAATAAATAATCAATAATATACCAATTATCACCATGATAATAAATCAGGGAAATTAAATTTAGGAGATTAATATATAATCAAATAAATAATTTGAAATTTAGGAGATAAAAATAATCACATTAAAGGATCGATTAATCCTTGAGGCCAAACTTAGCAAAGTGGGTATGTTCTTAAGAGTACTTTGAGTACTAAAATTTAAATAGAATATGATTGCTTGAAATTATTGATTAAAAATTAAGTCGAAGGGTAATATTAAAAATTAGCTCAATTGATTAAAATGAATTGCTCGGATTACGGAGCCCTCTATTCGCTTCATGTTTAGTGAACTAATAAATAGTACGATTGATTAATGGTATTAATCTATTTGTGATTCATAACTTCAAACTGACAAACCAGTTAGTAAGGTAGAAATCCGAAGTAGTAAAAAAAAGGGGGGGGGGGGGGGGGGGGGGTTAATATTGAAATTTTTATTAACATAATTAAATAAGTAATTAATAAACGAATATTTTAAAAATAGATTAACCTCATAATTAGGTTCAACCCCTAATTAATTGGATGAATTCTTAAGCTAATTAGAATTTTAATTGATTAAAGGTGATTATTAAAAGGACATTTTAAGAGACCAATTTAGGAGGAGTTTCACGTCAACCAAAATTATACCTTTTTGCCTCGTACTTTTATTAAAGGTTTTTATGTGCATATTTGCGAATTGAATTTATGTGTGCTGAATTTTACTACCTCCATCCCGCTATGATTGTCCCGTTTTACCTTATCGGTCCGTCCCACTAAGATTGTCCCATATCAAATTTGGCAAAGTTTGTGTGGCTCTAAATCATTCTTACTTTATTCTTACTTTATCAATTCAATATCAACCACATAAACCAATTTTTATTGATTTGCGTGCCACTCCCTCTTGTCCCATTGTTAGCGGGACGGAGGGAGTAGTAAATGTTATTTCGATACTAGTGTGCTATGATTGGTTGTACTTGATATATTGGTTTTTTTCTTCTATTATGTGATTTTGATATTAGTTATTCTATATGATTTTGGGAGATTTTCTACTAGTGAATATTTTGATTAATTTGGTGTTGAGAAGTTGTTGTTATGTTATATTTTTGAAACATATGAACTTTTGATTGAATTTTGATGAAACAAGAAAAATTAACATTTTCATAATTAAGGGGTGAGCACTCGGGAGAAATCCATGGTGTCGGTTTTCCACATCCGGATAAATGTGGAGGATGGTTAGAGCTACTACTACTCAATTTGATTTGAGTTGATTTGAGTTGGGTTGATTTTGATTTATGGAGGGTCGGTAACCACCCCGACAATTGGACATTAGATTCCACTTTGGTAGTAGTAGTAGTTCCTAATCATTCAAGTTTGAATAATTTTGGTGGGGTAGTTGGTAGAAAACATCCCGGCTACCCGGGGCGACTTACTAACCCGGAGGGCTTGGAATCCCTTTAGGGGGTGTGCACACTTAAGGTGGTTGTTCCGATTCTGACTTTTGTGGTTGATGGAGACCGGAAGTTCTGGGGTAAGTTCGTAAACAACAACGACTTACTGGGCTCGGTAACCCCGAGTACCGTCCATCTTAAAAAGAACTAGGGATTTAGTTAAAAATATATTTTGTTTGAGAAAAATCCTCAATTGGAAGTATTTGAAATTTTATTACTATTGGCCTTGAATTATATATGACGACTTTATGATTGCGGCGGATTTTTGAAGTTATGTACTTATATTTGAATTATTATTTTACCTATGAATTATGTGACGTGAGCTTTGCATAAATATTGTTTACTTACGATTAATATGAAATGTTATGAAAATATGTTGTCCCGAAATGTGTTACAAATATGTATAAAATTATATTATTTTATGGGGTTAGGTGGAACTTACTTAGCATTGTTGCTAATTTTTGTTTTCTTCTTATTTTCTTTTTGTCCATATCAAACAGGAGGTGACCATGTGGATTATGATGCTGCAATATTTGAGAGCGCAAACTAGAAGACCGTTATGTAGTTTATTTGGAATAAACTTCGATACATGTTTTGAACATCTTGATTTTGTTTAAACTCACATTTTGGGTAGATAGCCTTAGCATTCAATCATTTAAGGTTGGATGTGGCGGTGACATACCCCTTTCCCTTAGTTTTACTAATTTCCGCTGCAAACATTTGAATGTTTATCTAATAAATAAAAGATCATTTTTATTTCAAAGTATTATTTTGGGTGGAAATTTTGGGGGTGTCACAGTAGCATTGATGGTGTCAAAAAACTCTCATGTTGTTGAGTTTGGTCATAATTTTGGTGCGGTCCTTCAGTGACTCTGTATGCATGTGCCCCCAGAACTACTGTAGGTATATCTCTGGCACTGCTTTGGCGTTGTGGAATGCGGGCCAGAAATAGTGACCTTTGATGATAGCCGGGATGACAGGGTCCTGACACTTGAAAACTTGATCTTTGGTGGACAGTTCTCATGTTGGCCAATTATCATCACACCGTATACTCTGCCACCAGACATGTGTATGAAACAACATTTTATGTTTTTATCGTTAATGTGTCCTGGACCTGGTAATCCTAAGAAACGAATTGATGTGTAACTACAACCATTGATTGAAGAGCTGAAACAACTATGGGATGTAGGTGTTCCTACATATGATGTTTCGACAGAGCACATCTTTAATTTGAGAGCTGCGGTTTTATGGACTATTAGTGATTTTCTAGCATATGGAATGCTTTCTGGTTGGAGTACCGCAGGCCTTATGGGGTGTCTTGTTTGTATGGAGAAGTCAAATGCATTTTGGCTAAAAAATAGCCGCAAACCATCTTATTTTGATTGTCACCGCAGATTTCTCCCTCAAAACCATCCATATCGTAGGGATAAAAAGTCATTTCGCAAGGGGCGCAGTGAGGGTGATCCACCTTCGAGGTTGACAGGTTATCAAATTCTTAATCGTGTTCAGCACATTCCTTCTGCCATAGATGAACCTCTTCAGTATCCGGATGGATATTTGACTCATCATAAATGGACCAAAATAAGTATTTTTTGGGAGTTACCATACTTGAAGGATCTTCTCACTAGACACAATTTGGATGTAATGCATACTGAGAAAAATGTTTTTGATAACATTTTCAACATGGTCATGAACCTTAAAGGGAAAACCACAGATGGTCTATCATCCCTGTTGAGGTTTATTCGCCGTAGCCCGGAAGTTCAACATCCCTTCCGGGAGGGTTTCATGGCTATGGGGTGATAATAAAATAAAAACAATAATTTTTACGTGGAAACCCGGAAAGGGAGAAAACCACGGGACTGTTTAGGCTAATGTCCAAGCCCTCTCCTTTTATTAATACTCTCCTCCCCATTACATAATACAATATTGAAGCTCCATTAATGGAGTATAAAGCTGGCTAGGGAGAAAGGGAGAAGAAAGAGGGATCCTTTTCTATGGAGGCAAGGCTCCTATTTATAGGGGAGAAGGGAGAAGCCATTCCACCCTAATGGGCCAAACGGGCCCTAACGGGCCTCTCGGGCCTAGGCAGCCGAATGGGCAGAAATGGGCCCAAAGGCCGAAACAGGCCTGATAGGCTAAAATGGGCCTTACTGATTGGGCTCTGTACTACGTAAAGTCTTGGGCTCCTGAACAGTAATAGGCCGGGATGATATATCCCAACACAAGTCCCCCAGTTTCATGAGTAGTGAGCGTGCGAATCTGCTCGAGAAAATATACTCGAGCATATCCTCTTCCTCTGTCTTGCTGGAAATTGTGTCTTCGAGAAATCATAATATATGAGTGGGTGTCCGCCCCTCTGAATATAACCTGCCGGTAAGGCGCTCCTGTAACACCCCGGCCCCGTAGACCCCAAGGTAGTTACTTCTGACCTCTAGTACTGTCCTCACAAACCGCCACTAGCCTTTTCCGCGCACTTTGTCCTCACTCGTGCGCGCCCTGAGAAACTTCCCAGGGGGTCACCCATCCCACGACTACTCCCGTGCAAGCACGCTTAACTTTGGAGTTCTTGGCTAACGAGCTCCCTTAAAAGGAGATACACCTTGTTGGTATGAGTAGTACTATTAATCCATTTAAATTAAATCTCAAGTATTACAATCACCCCCACTGAGGAACGCAACGTCCTCGTTGCACCCATAAACCAATCTCAATCATATCCCAGAATCTTTTCCCCTGCTAAGTGCCCGCCCGATATCCAACGAATCAGCACACTGTCGCAGGGTTGCTCTGATACCATTTGTAACACCCCGGCCTCGCAGGACCCGAGGTAGCTACTCTAGACCAATAGTACTGTCCTCACAAACCACCATGAGCCTTTACCGCATAAGACGGCGCTGAGGGGCCGAGCGTGTTGCATAAGACGTTCATTGCCACGGTATGGTCTTACTTTGTCAAGGTATGGTCTTACATGCCATGGTGTGGTCTTACGTCTAACAAGAACCGGACACGAATGGCGCTGAGGGGCCGTTCGTGCTGCATAAGACGTTCGTCGCCACCTTGGAAGGTACGAGCTAAACATGAACTAGACACGATGGCGCTGAGGGGCCGATCATGCTGCATAAGACGTTCGTCGCCATCCTGGAAGATCTGGACGAGCTAAACATGAACTAGACACGATCGCGCTGAGGGGGACGATCGTGCTGTATAAGACATTCGTCGCCATCCTGGAAGGTATGGACGAGCTAAACAAGAACTAGACACGATGGCGCTGAGGGGTTGATCGTGCTGCATAAGACGTTCGTCTCCATCCAGGAAAGTATGGACGAGCTAAACATGAACTAGACACGATGGCGCAGAGGGGCCGATCGTGTTGCATAAGACGGTGGTCCCCACCCTAGAAGGAATGGGTGAGCCGACCGTGGACTGGATACGATGGTGCTTATGGGCTGATCGTACTGTATAAGATGGTGGTCCCTATCTGTTCATCGTAACCGCCCATTCTCTCTCTCTTTTTGGGTCTTCAAGGGTGGGGATACTCGTCTCTAGGCCTTCGGCCTTTGGAGTGGAAATGCTCGTCTCCAGGCCCTCGGGTCCTCTTGAATGGAAATGCTCATCTCTAGGCCCTCGGCCTCTGGAGTGGAAATGCGCTCCAGGCCCTCGGCCTCTGGAGTGGAAATTCTCGTCTCCAGGCCCTCAGCCTCTGGAGTGGTCCTCATCTGCTCTTCGTATTTGCCCTTTAGCATGGTCCTTTGGATCCTGGGCTGAACTAAGTCCTCGTACTTTACGTGGAACGGTTTTGATCCCTTTGGGAATTCTTTTGTTTGATCCATCCTGGGATTCTTTTGTGTGATCCATCTTGGGATTCTTTTGTCTTTTCGTTTCACCATCCGCTCGTCTTACCTGCCCATTTTGCTCGGTCCTTTGGATCCTGAGCTGGGCTCGGCCGCGATTGTGATGGGAAAAGGGTTTATCCCCTTTGGGGATTCCCCGGTGCCCCTCTGAATTTCTCTTTTTTTTGAGGGATCTTAACTTTGTTCCGTCATCCGCTCGTCTTACCTGCCCATTTGGCCCGGTCCTTTGGATCCTGGGCTGGGCTCGGACGCGATTGTGATGTGGAACAAGTTTATCTCCTTTGGAGATGCCCTGTTGCTCCTCTAATTTTTTTTTGAGGAGTCTTAACTTTGTTCCGTCATCCGCTCGTCATACCTGCCCATTTGGCCCGGTCCTTTGGATCCTGGGCTGGGCTCGGTCGCGATTGTGATGCGCAACGGGTTTATCTCCTTTGGAGATTCCCCGTTTCTTCGTTCCGTCATCCGCTCGTCTTACCTGCCCGTTTGGCCCGGTCCTTTGGATCTTGGGCTGGGCTCGGCCACGATTGTGATGCGGAATGGGTTTATCTCCTTTGGAGATTCCCCGTTGCTCCTCTAATTTTTTTTGAGGAGTCTTAACTTTGTTCCGTCATCCGCTCATCTTACCTGCCCATTTGGCCCGGTCCTTTGGATCATGAGCTGGGCTCGGCCGCGATTGTGATGAGGAACGGGTTTATCCCCTTTGGGGATTCCCCAGTGCCCCTCTGAATTTTTATTTTTATTTTTATTTTTTATTTTTTTTTTATTTTTTTGAGGGGTCTTTGTTTTTGTTTCGCCGTCCGCTCGTCTTACCTGCCCTGGCTCGCTCCTTTGGATCTTGAACTGAGTTCAGCCGCGATTGTGACGGGAAACGGGTTTATCCCCTTTGGGGATTCCCCATTTCATTGTTTCGCCGTCCGCTCATCTTACCTGCCCTGGCTCGGTCCTTTGGATCCTGAGCTGAGCTCGGCCGCGATTGTGATGGAAAACGGGTTTATCCCCTTTGGGGATTCCTCGGTGCCCCTCTATTTTTTTTTGAGGAGTCTTAACTTTGTTTTGTCATCCGCTCGTCTTACCTACCCATTTGGCCCGGTCCTTTGGATCCTGGGCTAGCCTCGCCCGCGATTGTGATGCAGAACAGGTTTATCTCCTTTGGAGATTCCCCGTTTCTTCGTTCCGTCATCCGCTCGTCTTACCTGCCCATTTGGCCAGGTCCTTTGGATCCGGGGCTGGGCTCGGCCGCGATTGTGATCCGGAATGGGTTTATCTCCTTTGGAGATTCCCCGTTGCTCCTCTATTTTTTTTGAGGAGTCTTAACTTTGTTCCGTCATCCGCTCGTCTTACCTGCCTATTTGACCCGGTCCTTTGGATCGTGGGCTGGGCTCGGCCGCGATTGTGCTGCGGAATGGGTTTATCTCCTTTGGAGATTCCCCGTTTCTTTGTTCCGTCATCCGCTCGTCTTACCTTCCCATTTGGCCCGGTCCTTTGGATCCTGGGCTGGGCTCGGTCGCGATTGTGATGCGGACGGCGCCAGTGTTGAGGTTTATTCGCCGCAGCCCGGAAGTTTAACACTCCTTCCGGGAGGGTTTCATTGCTATGGGGTGATAATAAAATAAAAACAATGATTTTTACGTGGAAACCCGGAAAGGGAGAAAACCACGGGACTGTTTAGACTAATGTCCAAGCCCTCTCCTTTTATTAATACTCTCCTCCCCATTACATAATACAATAATTAAGCTCCATTAATGGAGTATAAAGCTAGCTAGGGAGAAGGGGGGAAGAAAGAGGGATCCTTTTCTATGGAGGCAAGGCTCCTATTTATAGGGGAGAGGGGAGGAGACATTCCACCCTAATGGGCCAAA